GTACAGTATAATATAATGGAAGATGGTACAGTATAATATAATGGAAGATAGTACAGTATAATATAATGGAAGATAGTACATTATAATATAATGGAAGATGGTACAGAATAATATAATGGAAGATAGTACAGTATAATATAATGGAAGATTGTACACTATAACATAATGGAAGATAGTACAGTACAATGTAATGGAAGATAGTATAGTACAATGTAATGGAAGATGGTACAGTATAATATAATGGAAGATAGTACAGTATAATGTAATGGAAGATAGTACAGTACAATGTAATGGAAGATAGTACAGTATAATGTAATGGAAGATAGTACAGTATAATATAATGGAAGATAGTACAGTATAATATAATGGAAGATAGTACAGTATAATGTAATGGAAGATAGTACAGTACAATGTAATGGAAGATAGTACAGTATAATGTAATGGAAGATAGTACAGTATAATATAATGGAAGATAGTACAGTATAATATAATGGAAGATAGTACAGTATAATGTAATGGAAGATAGTACAGTACAATGTAATGGAAGATAGTACAGTATAATGTAATGGAAGATAGTACAGTATAATATAATGGAAGATAGTACAGTATAATATAATGGAAGATAGTACAGTATAATGTAATGGAAGATAGTACAGTACAATGTAATGGAAGATAGTACAGTATAATGTAATGGAAGATAGTACAGTATAATATAATGGAAGATAGTACAGTATAATATAATGGAAGATAGTACAGTATAATGTAATGGAAGATAGTACAGTACAATGTAATGGAAGATAGTACAGTATAATGTAATGGAAGATAGTACAGTATAATATAATGGAAGATAGTACAGTATAATATAATGGAAGATAGTACAGTATAATGTAATGGAAGATAGTACAGTACAATGTAATGGAAGATAGTACAGTATAATGTAATGGAAGATAGTACAGTATAATATAATGGAAGATAGTACAGTATAATATAATGGAAGATAGTACAGTATAATGTAATGGAAGATAGTACAGTACAATGTAATGGAAGATAGTACAGTATAATGTAATGGAAGATAGTACAGTATAATATAATGGAAGATAGTACAGTATAATATAATGGAAGATAGTACAGTATAATGTAATGGAAGATAGTACAGTACAATGTAATGGAAGATAGTACAGTATAATGTAATGGAAGATAGTACAGTATAATATAATGGAAGATAGTACAGTATAATATAATGGAAGATAGTACAGTATAATGTAATGGAAGATAGTACAGTACAATGTAATGGAAGATAGTACAGTATAATGTAATGGAAGATAGTACAGTATAATATAATGGAAGATAGTACAGTATAATATAATGGAAGATAGTACAGTATAATGTAATGGAAGATAGTACAGTACAATGTAATGGAAGATAGTACAGTATAATGTAATGGAAGATAGTACAGTATAATATAATGGAAGATAGTACAGTATAATATAATGGAAGATAGTACAGTATAATGTAATGGAAGATAGTACAGTACAATGTAATGGAAGATAGTACAGTATAATGTAATGGAAGATAGTACAGTATAATATAATGGAAGATAGTACAGTATAATATAATGGAAGATAGTACAGTATAATGTAATGGAAGATAGTACAGTACAATGTAATGGAAGATAGTACAGTATAATGTAATGGAAGATAGTACAGTATAATATAATGGAAGATAGTACAGTATAATATAATGGAAGATAGTACAGTATAATGTAATGGAAGATAGTACAGTACAATGTAATGGAAGATAGTACAGTATAATGTAATGGAAGATAGTACAGTATAATATAATGGAAGATAGTACAGTATAATATAATGGAAGATAGTACAGTATAATGTAATGGAAGATAGTACAGTACAATGTAATGGAAGATAGTACAGTATAATGTAATGGAAGATAGTACAGTATAATATAATGGAAGATAGTACAGTATAATATAATGGAAGATAGTACAGTATAATGTAATGGAAGATAGTACAGTACAATGTAATGGAAGATAGTACAGTATAATGTANTTGCACCACCCAACACCCTCATTGTACCTGCAGGTGGAGAGCCTGACGCCGCAGCTGGTGGCGGCTGGTCGCATCCGCATGAGCTTCCCCACGAACGACGCGGCGGACGAGCACTTCGAGAACCTGCGCCGCGAGTACGCCGACCGCATCGAGCGCGTCAGGGACCTCGCCGACGAGCTTACTGACTCTGCCGCCTTCGTCGCTGCCTCAGGTCTTTTTGGGGACTCTGGTGAACCTGTCTGATTCAAGGGACTCGGATTCTGTGGACTTTAGTAGTCGGGGAACTGTAGAACTCGGGGTAATGTTGGACTCGGGGACTGTGGGACTCTGGAAACAGTAGGACTCGGAGACTTCAAGTGACTGACTCAGAGGAATCTCACTGACTCAGTTGACTCTGGGATTGAGGCTCAGCAGAAGACTGATTCACGTGGGCTAGGCCCTAGTTTAGCGCCGCCCTCTTTTTATGCGAGTCTGCTTTTAGGCGCTGACAAACTTTTATTCATATTATAAGTTTTAGTCCGCCGTGTTGACGGGTGTCCATGGCACAGAGGAGGTGATGCGGCGGCACACGGCGGCCTGCGAGACGGCAATCGCCGGCGGACAGGCGCAGGCGGTGGTGGACAACGTGAGCAGCATCGCGCGTCTCGTCAGCCGCGTCCTGCAGGTGGCCAAGCAGGAGGCGGACAACTCGGAGGACCCCAGCTTCGTGGCCTCCGTGAAGACGGCCAGCGCTGCCCTCGAGGCAGGTCAGTGTCCATCCTGTCCATCATCTGGTAAACTGGTTAAGGTTGCCATGACGCCGGGAGAATAAATTAGTCTTGAATAAGTTCTAAGTCTCAAGTCCTTAGTGTTGCCTGTGTGACGCCCGCGTCACCAGGTCCCCGCTTGTGACGCCCGCGTCACCAGGT